TCCAAAACCGGAACGGCCCGTTTTGGATCCGAACATTGTGTGTTAATCTTGTGACTGGAACGACCCGTTCTAAAACTAGAACGCCCCGTTCCAAAAGTGAGATTAACACGTAATTGCCTAGACTGGAACGGTCGTTCCAAACAAAAGTTTGTAGGTCATTTTAATAACTTGGAATGGGCCATTCTAGTTTAGGAAAGGCCCATTCCAGTTAAGGTTTTAGCCCTTTTTTGAGGAGTTTGGAACGGCCCGTTCTAATTTAGGAATAGCCCTTTCCAAACTAGGGTTTTAGGCCCTTTTAGGAACTTGGAACAGCCCATTCCAAATTGGAAACGGCCCGTTTCGGTTTTGTAACAGCCTATTCCAGGCTACTAAAACCAGCTTATTTGAGCTTTTAGTCCTCCTGATGTCTTGTCCTGTTATTTCCATGCTTGGGAGATCCATTTCTTTGATGATAGACGTCCATTTCATTGTTATTGTTGGTCTGGACGAAATTGGGTGTCTACAACCAGGAAAGTACAGAGATATCTAGGTCATGATTAATGCTAGATATAGAAGCAAACAAATAGTATGAAAGACTTCGTGAAACACAGATTCAGCAAGCAAACATTTTGTGCAAGATCAAATGCATTAAATGCAAGAATCCACGAAGTCTGTGCAAACTAAACAAGAGAATCAGATGATGGTTAGTCAAGCATCAAAACGAGGTTTGCTCACGAACGGAAGAACATTCAACAAACACCAGATGAGGACTACTACTGGAAAGAGACATTGGAGTATCAGAAGAAAAGCCAAAACGAGACCAAACCTGGAACAAGAAAAGTTGTGTTGAACATAAGAAGAAGCCGGATGGTCAACTCTATTAAAAGAACAGTTAAGGCAAGGCACTTCATGAGAATCAGACAATTCAAGCAAATTGAATAGACAAAGTACAATATGTGCACCAGACGACTATGAGTACAATATCATATGGATGTGTATCAAGAACAACCTCCAGTGCAACATGAAGAAATGGACCAAGCATGAGACAACGATAAGAAGAAAGTCAACTATGCATCAGATGAAGGACAGCACAAACTGAAAGACACTCTAGACAAAAATAATGTTTGTCTATTCACATTGTTGACCAGATCAAAGAAAAAGAAAAGCATTAAACTCATACACTAAGACGAAGGTCAAGATTGAGATACACAGGACCAATAGATGAAGATGAAGACTGTCACGCAAGCAATTAAAGAATTAAGTCTCAAGAAACAAACCAAGACATCGTCTATGATCACACAGAAGCTCTCAATGTAAAATTCATGATCTAAATGAAGAAACGAAGAAGAAGAGAAGCACGCAAAAGAAAAAGCATACATGTGTCAGAAAAAGTGCATTATTTTTTCAGAAAAGGACAACGGCTATATTGTTGCATGACCAGAAAAAGACAAACAATTTCTAGGTCTCAGATAAAGTCAAACACTGTTGGTAACAAGACAGAGAAAAATACATGCAATGTCTAAAAATAGGAAGCAATATTTAATGCAAGATCAAATGTATTAAATGAAAGGATCAAACTAGTCATAAACGACTATATTAGCTTCAACGGACATATGCAATGGGCAAATTTTACAGGCCTATAAGTATGCAATAACCTCAAATCGAAAAAGGTTGGCAAGAAGCAACGAAAGAATGACTATAGGCATTGCCCTGGGCTTTTAGCATTAAGCACCAAAAGTAATATCAAGCCTAAGAGAAAAATAGAGAAATTAGAGATTGATTCTTCATAGTCAAATCTCAATGTATCATTGTATTCTTCTCTATAGTCTAAGGTGTTCCAAGTGTATCTTAGGAAGGAAACCTTAGTGAGTGTTGTAACCCTATGTATCCTCTTTATAAAGAGTAACCCACACACTCAGAATCTCTGTAGAACTAAGGTAGTGAAACCTTAGAGAGTGTAAATCATATATGTATCCTCTTTATGAGAGTAACCCAAACACTCAAACCTGATTATACGTCTATCACTTGTAAAGCCTGAAAAGGCTAGGTAAAGAATACTTGTAAAGCCCGGAGGGGCTTGTCAAAGAATACTCACTGCGAGCCTCAAGAGGCTAATTAAAGAATACTAGTGCTGGTGAGTGAAGCTGGCGGGCCAGGGGTGGTTCTGACCTGGGTGGTCCATAATACTCAATGCTAGCCAAAAGTGGCTGATAAGAATATACTAGCGTTGATGAGTGAAGTCAACGGGCCAGAAGTTGTCGACAATACTTTTGTACTTAATTGCATATTTAATGGAACCCTTCAGTTAAAGGAGACTGGACGTAGCTCGGTCTAAGTGAACCAGTATAAAATAACTTACTACTAATTCCTATTTCTCATATGCATATCTTCATTCCTGTTTAAATATTTGTGAAAAACTTCGTCCACCCAGAATCTCTTAGTGAAATCAATTTTTAGACGTAGACGCAAACTTTGTTTAATATATATTTAATTCACTAAAGAGCTTTATCTACTGTCTATCCTTAAATGAAACTATCTTGAAAAAGGAAAATGCAAGAACCTTAATCATTATTGTTATACGAAACGTTTTCCTTCAGCAGTCGATAAATCGTTCAGATGCAGTGACCTTGTGTTAAGCAAATTATGCATAACCGTCTGGTATTTAAAAGTGCATTGGACGAAGAACATTACTCTTGCGAAAAAGATTATAAAATTCCTTTGTACTCACACACACATATTCAACCCCCCCTTCTATGTGTTTCATGTCTAACTTCAAAAAGTATATTCTATTAGATGGAATTTTATGGTAATAATAGATAAAACTCAACTTTAAAAAATGGTGAAAAAAGAATTGTTGTCTCAAAAATTAGAAAGGTAACACAATAATATGGTTATGAAAATATTTTACATGTGACAATTTGATAGATATAAAAATATAGTTGTAACATTTCTTTATTTAAATCAATTCTAACTCATATTTTTCACAATATTAGGACACTTGAAAACGCAAGATCGAATAATATTTGTCATATGAACAACTTTCATACATAACAAAATATCTCTATTTTTGAGGTTGTGGTTATTTCTTTCATAAATCAGAAAAACTTACATGAAATGTTAAATATCTCATATTGATACATTACATTGTATTATTTATTTTTGTAACTTTTTAAAGTCAAAGAAATTATAGATGATGTATTTTATAAATAATTGAGATTTTATTCTCGAAAAGTGTGAGACTATTCAATTTTATTATTTATTAATTCTTATATGTGTTTTCTTTCATGTTAATATTAACTAAAAATAATAACAAAATAACATTTTTTTTTCATAAATTGCATGGAAGCTAAAAATCGTCCTGAGGTGAAATCATTATTTAGTCTTCCTATTAAAGAAATTTTATGATCATAAAACATCATGTTGTACATAAAGTATATATATACTTTAATTCATACTTACATAATTATGTAGAGCATAAACTTTTTAATATATTTTAATCATTGTTATATATAAAATAAATATAAAAAAATAAATTGTATTTATTAAAAAAATAATAAACACATAAAGTAAAAAAATATCAAATATTTAAAATTTTACAATATTATAATATAATTAATATTCACTTCATCAATGAATAATGATTAAAGTATAAAAAATGAAGTAAAATTAATTTTATAAATGAGTTATTTTAAATACTACAATAAAATATATATAAAAATACGAAGTGTCTTGACTCTACTGATATATATAAGAAAAATACATTTAAATATTAGTAAACTTATTTTATTTAATAATCTTTTTTTATAACAAATTTTAATAATTTAATCATTAAATTAAAAAAATTTAATACATAAATAAAATTTTAAAAATTTTAAAAAATTAAATTCGGTATTAAAAAAAAACCGGTGATGGAGTATTTCGTGTAGCTATTTATGGAAAGGGACAAGCAGCCCACTTCTCCCGTGATCGCTTCGGTTGCCACGATTTAAACCGAAACCAAATCTATTTATCTGTTCACTTTTTGTGTCGACTCGACTCAACTAATTGTACGAGGTACACACACCCTCTGACCCTGTCTCTTTCTCTCTCAAACTAAAAACTAAAACCCATTTTCTTCTCCAAAACCTTCGACCTTCTCTAACTGAAACGCGCTTCCAAGCACTTCTTCTTCTTCTCTCTCTCTCTCTCAACTCTCATCATTGCCCTAACCTTCACGCACTATCAAATTCCTGACACTACTGGTGAGCCCCATTGCCCTTTTCCTCCCAAACAACATTCTAGGGTTTTCTTTTTCATATTACTCGGAGCCTGTCCAATATTGTGTCTGAAAAAATGAGTTTTTTTCGTTGGTTTTTTTAGCGATTCTGAAATTGTTCGGCGAGGTGTTTCTAATCTATTAATTGGTCGTTATTTTATGTCGAGGGTAGTATTTTTAGGAACTTCTCTGAAATTGGGCTCTGTGTCATTGATGCACGCAATGTGCAGCTAGGGTTTAAGTTTAACCCCATCTTTGGCTTGCGTTGGGATTTTAGAAGATAAAGCAAAATTTTGTTATTGAGGGTGCGTGTATTTTTCTGGATTATGTATATGGATTTTTGATGATGATAATGATAATAGGAACCGTTCTGTTTGTACTGGGGGGCATTTAATTAATAACTTGTAAATGTATGAAGATAGAGCGTGGTGGCACAAATTACTGTGTAAAAATTGTTACTGAGGTCAGTTTTTGGTGGTGTGGAGTATTGAGACCGGGCAAGATGGTAAAGGGATGAAACTTGTAATAAGTGTGCATTCGGATAGGAATTATTTTCGTGGTATTTCTCGATTGGGGTATGAATGGATGAAATTGGAATTTTCTGGCACAGGTTATACGAGGGGAATTCTTATTGAGTTTTTTAGTGGCATGCAGTGTGCTAAAAGGTCAAGGAAGTTGATGAGCCAAAGCTGGTGCTGTAGATGTGGTGAAGGAACTAAATGTAACAAGGTTATGGTAGGCTAACTACCCATTAAGTATCGTTTTTGTTGCAGTATGGAGGACTACCTCTAGAGAAACCCAGAGGTTGTCTAAGTCTATGACATTCAAGAGTGTAAACCTGCCTGTCCTAACCCTACAGATCCACTTATATACCTTTGTTTAACTTCATGCGCATATCCCGGTTTTCTCTGTGGTACTCCCACAAACTAGAGTCATTATTGCAGTCTGGGATGATCCCGTAAATCATGGCGCCAAAGCTTACCAATAATGTGGTCATTAGCCAACTGAACTGAGGCTCAGGGGAAGTGGTCGGCTGAGGACCACAGCCCTTGAGCCTCAAGTGCAGGGTGTGAAGAGGCTTGCGCAGAGTTGATTGGTTGGCCGAGGACTGGGGTGGTACAATTTTCTATATGTTTTAATTGAAATACTGCTGGGTAGGAGAAGTTGCAAATGCAACTGCAACCCTAATGCATGAAAATTCAAAAGATGTTTTCCAAAGAACATTTGACCTTGGATCATATTTTTATCTTTTGAACTCTGCCATGTCAACATTGTTTCATTGTAAAGTAGTGTTGTGTAATGTTGAAATTTGAATGCATAGAAGCCTGGTCACATTTTCTGGTAGTGCTTTTCAATGTTTTCATATCCTTGTAAGTTAAATTATGTTTTTAGACAATAAGATTTGTCAATACTTGGAAATCCAGCCGAATCAATCATTTTAGAGTGGCTTAAATTGTTAAATAAACTTGAAAGTGAAAATGAAATTTGATTGAAATGAGGGAAGGAAAGATAATTTAAAGATAATGAGGGAAGGAAAGATAATTGCTTGTGCATGAACATCGGAAAAGAACATTTACAAAGTCGAGTCCTCTGTTTGTAGAACCAAGAAATAATTAGGTTACTGTCATTTACTTGTAAAATCTTTTCTTCCAATGCATGAATATCTTTAACCAAACTTGAACTTGGGAGTTTGGAAAAACATGTCATTGTTGTTTCTTATATTAAGTTCCTTTTACATAAAATTAATTCAGGCACTGATGATGATCTTTCTCCGTCAGATCAAAATAGCATTCTGAGAGGTAGCAGTTTTTCTGGCAATGGAAAATCTTCTGTAGCTTCTATTCCACACTCGAAATTGCATTGTAGCATTGTAACATGGAGGCACAAATTCATCAACTTGAACAGGAAGCTTACTCTGCTGTCTTGCGTGCTTTCAAAGCTCAGTCTGATGCTCTTACTTGGGTATATATATTAGTTTCCTCCATGCATTTTAATTATCTTCATATTTGACTGTGTTGAGGATTACCTGTGTATTTTATTTATGTATGCATCAGGAGAAGGAAGGTTTGATAACTGAGCTTAGAAAAGAGTTGAGGGTTTCAGATGATGAACACAGAGAGCTTCTTACCAGGGTTAACTCTGATGAGATAATTCACCGCATTAGGTATTGAAATTATCTGAGTAGTTACAATAATGTAGGAATAAAATTATTTTTGGCTGTTCTTCTGCTTCTACTTTTACAATGATATGTTGTGATGAAAAATGCAATCAGGGAGTGGAGACAAACTGGCTGTTACCAACCGGCAAGGCGCAGCACATCTCAGCCTGTTCATGACATTTTACCAAGTCCAACTGTTTCAGCTTCCCGAAAAAAGCAGAAAACATCCCATTCGGTACCACCTTCTCTTGTATACTATGTGATGTGATGTGAGCTTTAACTGCACATTTTTGTGTTCATATTCAGTGCTGCAATTGTAGTGGGTGCTTTAGGATCCAGAAGCCAAAATCTATAATTGCACTGCACGTAAATTCTTTGCTTGAAAAGTACAAAAAGAAAAAAGATAAATTGATGTCCATTTGGTTTTTAATTTTCCACTAATTTTGGCACCAGGGTCAGTCATTGCCTGCTTTATCTTCAGTGAAGTCTGTACAGTATACGTCTGCAGGACCTACTGGTGGTAGGCATTTCACAAATCGTAATTCTAGTGCTCTTGCATCTAATGAACCTGCTGAAGCAGCAGCCTTTGATCCATTGATTGGGAAGAAAGTTTGGACTAGGTGGCCTGAAGATAACCACTTTTATGAGGCTGTCATAACTGATTACAACCCTGCTGATGTATGTTTAGATCTTAAAATTGCTCTCAAAATCCTTGATTATTGCATATATATATATATTTCACCAGCGTAACACCTTTGAATGCTCACTGGGCTGATTGGCTTTTGATATCTGCGATGACTTATGCAGACAAGTCTAATCTTTTTTGACTTAAATACATTTTGAAGCCCTTTAAATGAGCAAGTTTTGATTTTGGTTGTTTTAAGAAAAATTCTTCGTTTTCATCCCTAAAATATATGAAATCATTGTGTTAAGTTTTTTCTCCCTATTGTCATATGATACTTGTTAATTGCTTGTGTTTAATGGAATGTCAAGTGACACTCATTGGTGTCTGAGTGAGATGTGACACTTCTAAAAGAAATTCTAGATCCCTAAAGGAATGTTATTTATGTATCTTTTAATCTTTTATAAGAACCCAATTTAGGATAAACCAACAATTTTACCATTGCATATCAACAGTTGTTGGATCATTATGAATCCCAGTCTGGATCAAGCTTCTCTTTATACTAGGAATGAAACCAAAACATTGTCCCACCTTCCATGCTCATGAACACCCGCTGCAACTTATGGAATTGAAAAGGGATTTCTCCCACCTGAGATTTTTTCAGCCTTAGCAATCCACTCAACAGGGTCTATCCCCATAACACATGCTCTGGCTCGACAATCCAGCCAAATCAGACCATTTGGTGGGAACCCAATTTAGATACACTGACAACTGTATTATTGATTGAAAATGTAAGATGTATTATGGGATAAGCCCTTATAATATCATAGCAAAATCTCCTTAGAGAAGAAAAGGTTCCCCCTCTGCCCAAGTCTGAATATACACCTTAGACTCCCATATTGAAAATACAAACTCTGCATGCCTTTCCTTCTCCCCTCCTACCTATATAACAGACTCCATTATCTCTCTTTTTTTCCTTTTTGTAGCTAGCTCTTCCCTCCTTTCCTATTTCCCAGCTAAGGTGATTCTAAGTGGGCCTTGTACATTTGGGCTACTGGTTATTTTGGATGTTAGAGACCATAAATACAAATTCTGCAACTGTGAAATGAATGATAGAGACCAAAAGTAGTTATTTTGGATTTTGGAAGGATGAAAATCAAAGGAAAAATGTTTTACACGGACTAAAATCAAAATTTATTTATTTTATTGGACCAAAAAGGTGAGACCAATTTTTAAATGGGTGAAAAACAAAAACAAAATAAAAAACAAGGATCAAAATTAGAATTGCTCATTTTTATAGGCATTAAAAATGTATTTAAGCTTTGTTTTTTTTTCATGTGTAAGATGCCTTTTACTTTTTTGGGTTTGGTTTTTCCCTTGAACAGGTGTTATAGAGAATGAAAAAGTATGCAAACTTTTTTATATTAATTTCATTTTGGATAAATTTGTCTCTATGTATTGTCTGTAACCTCTTTGAGTGTATATATTATATACTATTTAGTATTCACCCTTTCATCCAGATGGGAATAGAAAAGCTTAAATGTGATTAGGGCCTAAACCAGGAAGTGCATGGCAGCATGATATTCAATTTTTTAAATAAATTTCATTTAATGTCCAATTTTTGTTATCCATGCAGGACCGGCATGCTTTGGTTTATGATATTAATAAAGTAAATGAGACTTGGGAATGGGTTGATCTCAAAGAGGTATTTATTTCCTATGTTGTACTGCATATATAAAAGCAGTAATTAATTAGGTTTGAACAGTTGCATTAGGTGAAGCACTAGAAAAAACATGTTAAAGAAAAGATTATATCAAATAATATGAAATGATTGAAAAATATTATACTTTTAAAGATGACGACAATAGATAGTAAGCAAATGATTTTGGCCATTAGCACCACCTTCCTTTAAAATGATTCTAGAAGCCAATTTTTTGTATCTTAGTACTAACAGGACATTGAGAACATATTAAAGGTAGCAGAATGATGACGGAACTGGCAGCAGCAGTCTCATAAAAAGTAATTCAAGTCATCCTATCAAATTATCTGTTAATATGGCCTAATACTAAAACTATTTCATCCATTATCCTTCTATTGGCCCTTATCTTGTCTTGCTACCCTGGCAAATCATCATACTCCGATAGCTTATCTTTGGTGGTGATTAACATGTGCCTTCTATTCTATCTCAACTGTTAGATGAGGGTGATATTTAAATTATTAAGTATAAAAAGGTATATAATCAATGATTATAAGAGCTGGTGAATCCATGCTCTGGCTCATGAAGAGAGCATTGTAGATACCATCGCTTATCTTCTCTGGTTTTGTGTTTACTTGTTACCAATTTAGACTCAAATGAACCTTTTTCCTTCCTTGTTTATGCCACATTTATTATTTCTTCTATGTAAAATCGTTCCGCACTTACTTGCTAATCTATTTCGAGGATAAAGGAACACTGCTTGAACAAAGATTGGGGTGGGTGACTTTACAACTTCATCCATTAGTGATTTGAACAAAAAATCAAAAGAAACATGCTGACTCTACATCAGATTAGAATACTGTACAAATTTGAATTCTTTATCGAAAAAATTTGGGGTTATTAAAAAACTTTCTAACATTAAGAAAATATTTCATAATCTAACATAGGATAAGATTTAGGATGTTTTTATTATCAGAATTCCTGTGGTTGTGTTGTTTGGAATCTTTCTTATGAACATGGTTTTTGGACTAATTTGAGATTAGGAGAAGTTGAAGCCTGATTTATGTTATAATTTCCAGACTAGCAATGTTCATTGAGATTTCAGTGTCTTTAGACTTATAACTTACAATTTTCTATTGTTCATAATCGAGGTGTTGAGTTGTTCGTCATCTCAGAGGATTAAAAGTTTGTTGTTTTGGGGGCAAGGATACAAGTTTAAAATAATTTATCCCTAACTCCCTTTTTGAGTGATAATTTTTATTTTGTGCATACACCCTTATACATTCTGAATAAGCTGTATGTGCAAAGTAATTCATGTTTCTTGTTATGCTACAAGTTGCTGGTTCAAGGTAAAAATAAATGCGAATGATTTGATTATTTTTATCCCAAGAGATTATGTAACAACATACAAGTTGATATAAGTCATCGAAATGATCTTTCATATTTTAAGGAAACATATGTCTTGACAATTACAGATATCACCCGAGGATATAAGATGGGAAGGTGAAGATCTGGGCATACACCATAGAAGTGGACACAGTGGGCACGGTCGTGGAGTTAAGAAATTCTTTGGCCATGGTGGTGATTCTTTAGGTGCAGGAAGGGGGAGAGGTCATCCCAGGTTTCAGGCCAGACAAGAATTTCTCCCACCACAAAATGGTATTGGAAGGAGAGTTCTGGATGACATTGAGTTGCTGAACACAGATTCACTAGTTAAGGAGGTAGTATTATGATATGCTTAAGCAACCTTGTTGTGACCAAAGGAAAACAGGGAAATTCTTTTAACTTTTGATGACACTGATGTGTTATTACAGGTGGAAAGGATTTTTGCTACAAGTCCTCCAGATTCAATGGAACTTGAGAAGGCAAAGCAAATGCTGAAAGTACGTTCACCAACCATCCATTATAATTTAAAATCTTTGTTACTGTTCCATGGTTATTGTTCATTCTCTAATTACTGCTTGGATGTTGTATAGGAGCACGAGCAAGCACTTGTTGATGCCATTGCAAGGATTGCAGATGCATCTGATGGTGAAAGTGGTAATAATTAGCCGTCTACATAATCATGCTGCATACTGTTGTGTATTGGAACTCTATTTTTTTTCCTTTTTTCGTTTAGGTCAGACAAAATGAGCTTTTTTGTAATTGAATAAAATAAACATTTTATTATACCATCGTCCGCAACAGATTTTGGCAATTCTCTAACTGGGGAAAAACATTTATGCTTTTCTACATTTTGGTTCAGAACGGTGCAAGGAGCTTTTAAACCCAGAAGTGGGAGACAGTAACGGGAGTAATTAGGGGCCTCTTATTTTAGCTAATGTTTGGATTAGCTTCTTTGGAGAAATAACAGCTTTTTTTTAGCTCATTAGGAGGACTTTGGAATAAAACAATTGTTTCTCACAATCGGTTGCTAAGCAAGTGCTGAGTGCAAATTTGATAATCAAATAATTGATGTATATTTAAGTGTTAGGCTTGTTTGCACAATTGGTGATCACGTTTAATATTCCAGGATTAAGCACGATCATTGTGTGGTGTATGCTTATCACAAATACTTTACAAAGGTTGTAATTATGTTCCAATTTATGTGCCTTATTTACAGATGGAGAACAGCATTTCTTGCAGCACGGGCAATTAATGGAAAGGGGATGAGAGCACAGAAACCAATTGCGTGTTTGGAGATGATCTTTAAGCTCTCATGAAGTCTCGTGGAAGTCTAATTTTGGATGAATGCATAGTCAACTTGTAGAATCCAACTGCAGCAAATGATGGTCTTCTTACTGATGCATTTCTGTCATTTATTTCTTTCCCTTCCTGACTTTTGCAACATGTGTCAGTTTTGTGCTCAATGACGATTTAGAATAGGGCTTTAAATTATCACTTGTCAGGCACATCATTTTTTTTTGTCTGCATTCAACTGTAAAATACTATAAATTATTTATTGTCAAGGAAACCCAACAAGAAATGTAAACAATGTCTGATGTCTTTTCTTTTGCTTGGCTTGTCTTTTGGACATGACTTAAACGAATACTGTCAATGTCTTCAATGCCTCCTATCCCAAACTATTCCTGCAATACAAAATATTGAGACAGTAGGAGTGTAAGCATCTGAATGGAAGTAAAAAAGGAATATTTACTTCATATATGCGGCTTAGACATGTAAGCATCTCATCATGTACCTAAATCCACCAGAAACAAATTAAAACTGAAGTAGAAACGGGCCTTTTATATTCAACGACATTGTTGTAAGATTATATGGTTCAAATTAATTTCATCAAGATTAATTCTACCCGACTTAAAAACAAATGGGCATTTAAGGAATCTGTTTGGTTTACCACAATCCATTTTACATTGTTATATATGTTTCAATGTGCAATTGGTACTAGAAGTAATTTGGATACGCATCAATTATGTTTAACAATTCAAAGTCAACTTTATCCCAAATGGATACTCATCGTATTTGATATCTTAGAACTACAACGCGTTTCACATAATAAATTCTTAGGTACTGGTTTATTAGCATGATTCATATTTGTATAATTATCGAAAAAGAAAAGGCTCACAAAAGCTTTGGAAAACAAGTTTTAAGGAATTAAAATATGGCCAACTTTTATGTCATTCCAGGAAATTTATGCTATGTTATGAAGCCATTAAATGCCGCTACATCCCTTTGGATGTAGATAACTGTCTCACTAGCAATCTACATTAACTTAAACTAACATGGATACTAGCACTATAACTCAAATTAGCAAAGCTACTAGTACTACTCAAATTAACACTGGATGCCATCAATTTCCAGAAGGGCAAGAGTCAGCAAAGCCTAACCTTTATACACATAGTTAATATAGCAATTAAGATAGTTGATTCTATAGAAAAGCTAAATCCTTCTCAAGGAATTTGCTTTAATAATCTTTCCTTCCTATTTAGCTAATTAGAAATAATTCTCCTCTTCTTCCCTACCCCAAAATAATAACAACAATAATGACAAATAGATAAATATGTTCACCGAAGCACAAGAATCCGTTCTACTCCTGCATTAGGCAATGAAGCCTCCCACAAGAATCGCTAATTTCCACATAAATCCCTCTCAACAGCCGTTCAAAGACTCTAGGCTGATCTTGTACTAAAAGGAGCAGAAATTTAGTTGCTCCCAGAGTTAGAAAAATATTGTTCTCTACCTAGAACGTTTACTTCTTGACTATGCCAACAAAAATAAAAAATAAACTAGTTAAAGGGATAGTTCTTACATGAGGCACTGCGCTTTCTATAGTGCAGAGTAAGGGATTTCATTTGCTCAAAATCACCCAAGAATTTCTCAAAGAAAAAAAGCGGAAGAGTTTGATCTATCATCAAACAGCAAGTGTGCAAAATAATAATTGATTGACCTTGCCATTGCTACAGGGAGAAGTTATCAAATGGGTACAACGGATTCTCTAGGAACCTAAGCCTGTCAAAAAGAAATACAAAATAGACACTTCAAAATTGTAGCAGTGCATATGATGACGTTGATTCTGAATCTAAAGTACAAAATTTAGGTGCAATATCATATGCTTTTAGTGTTATTCTTTGATTAAAATTAGAACTTTATCTTAATAAATCAATAATCAAAGTATACATTAAAAAGTCAATACAAATTATCAAGGTAAAACTACATTATTACTTTTATTTAAATCCTCAATATAATCCTAGTCAAGGCCAGTAAACCAATTCAAGGGGACAAATTTTTCATGTGCCTATTTTTTTCTGTTCATAAGATTCACATCTGAGAATTTACCTCAGGGAAACAGAGCTTCTTGCCACTTGATCATGCACCCATTCGTGGTGAAACTACATTTCAATCGGAGAATAACAAAAAAGAAAAATCGCCTACTGCAAATAAATTTTATGCATCATTACACTCATTATCAGTTAACCACTGTCACAGTGTAAAGAATTTTTATCACGCGATCTTTTTACAAGTCATCCAATTACAAACTAAGCTTGTTGACTTTTTATGATATCTGGTTTAAAGTTCATATGAAGAATGATTTCTGTATTAAACTCTTGCTGCGCTAACCAATCAAGTGTGTTCCCCAACCGATTATACAAGTCAGTAATTAAAGTAAGAAAAAAAAAACATAAGGAAAATAAAATAAAATCTATTGTAGTAGAACCTCTAACAAAACTCAAAACATGTGTATGCTATGCACAATCAAAATCTCCACCTAACGGAAACGGAACAAATCTCACACGAGTTTCATGCTTCAACTTCAACTCACGCTAATAATGTCTTGTGTCGGTCGCGCGCCACAAGAACGTAACAGAAAAAAAAAAAAAAAAACCGAAAAACATCATCAAAGTCCACGAAACTTGACTACGATCGAAACAAACGACAAGTTCAAGCGATAAACGTGAGAACCGACACGTTATGAAGAGGGTTTGAAGTAGGTACCTGAAAATTGAGCAATTTGGAGAGATCTGTGTGCGCGTTCGAAATGCGTCCCTCTCGAAACGACGTCGATCCGATGCGGTTTGGTGAACTTTGAGGATCCTTCGCTGAAGAGGTTGGTTTTGGTTGATGGCAATACGGCGTCGCTTTGCGCCATGTTTTGGTTTGTGGGGTTGAAGATGGGAAATGGAAATGGCGAAACAGTAGACATTCGCTTGGCCCCACAGAGTCATCATTCGCGACGTTATTTGGAACCCGAGAGAAACCAAAGCTATTATTATTTAATTCAAAATAACTCTAGAATATGATATTGGAGTGAAATAATGTCAAAATAATTCATTCTATATTTATAATTATCTATCCTTTTCTTATTAAATAATAATTAATATTTTTTTTCCTTTCATGGACACGATATACGATCATAATTGATAATTAAAAATTAATTTTTATCGATAAAACATAATTTTACTAGTCAAATATTATTATTTTATATTAACAAAAATCAATTTTCAACCTACATATCTTACATTAGACTTTATAATTATTGTGTAAAGAAGTTTGGTTAAATAATTAATATATATACATATAATATAAAATTTATATTAACTAGATTTATTGTCACATTTGGTCGGGTATTAAGAATTATTTGGGATAAAAAAATAGATTAGAGTGCTTATCTAAAACATATTCCAACCCACAACATATTCAAGCAAAATCAAATCTATTTGTTAGATAAGTTGAGATTTTTAGAAAGAAAAATACCTAGTTTAAAACGTTAGATTTCAAATTATTCAAAAAATTATCAAAATGAGTATGGATCAATCTATTAAAATAAATATGGAAAATGATATGATAATAGTAAATTTTGTTATTATTGCATTAGATTTTTATTATAATTTTGTGATATTATATACTTATTATCTATTTAATCATATCCGTCTAGTAACAAAAAATTCAGATAATATATATAAAGTCATAACTTCGAATGTTTCTACAATTTTTTATTAATTAAAATAATTAAATATTCTTTAAGGAAGTGTTTGGTATACAATAAATTTTTTCATGTTTGAGATAATAAATTTTGAGAATCATGATTTTTATCATGAAAACCTATTTACTTAATCATAAATGTTTCTTAAAATGTTTTTAAATGTTACATATAAATGAAAAAATTTACTGTATTAAATAAATAAATAAATAAAGATAATGTGATATTTTTATTACATTAAAAAAAATTATTTTTTTTTGAAAAAGTTTGTTTCTCATCCCTCATGAGAATAATTTTGTGAAAAACTTATGCAAAAATCATTCATAGGGAACAATATTTTTTAAAAATGTTAATTTTTTAATAACATCCAAACATATAAAATTAGCATTCCCAATATCAAATCCTCAAGCAATTAAAAAAAAATATTGTGTACTGTTCCGGCCAAAGGGTGGACTAGGGTTTTTTCCTAGACCAGGGATAAAAGAGTTGCAATTTGAACAGGGAGCCAATCTGTTTTACTTGCTGCGTTTTATTTCGTTTTATTGTGTTACAAACTGAAAATTCTGAACCAAAACCTCCCCCCCCACTTCCTGTGTTTAAGCCTTTAACAGTAAAAGACGGTCCTTGGGAGACGACCTAGGAGTCACTTCCTAGTACTACATTTAATTGCATTTATTTGACCGAATACGGCTTCAATCAATGGTACCAAAGAAGGTCATAGAAAAAAGACATTGGTAGAATTTATACAGTATCTCCTTCGAAAGGAGAAAAATTCTACCTACGCATTTTATTATCTCATTTAAAAGGTCCAATGAGTTGAGAAAACTTACTTTTACCAAATGGAACATGTTTTACCACATTCAAGAAAGTGGTTGAGCATTGGGGCTTTTTAGAAAATAATAATAGTATTCATGAATGCTTAGTTGAAGCATCAAGTTTACGAATGTCTTATGCTTTAAGGAGTTTGTTTGTCACTATATTAATTATTTGTGAACCAACCAATGTTAGATAGCTCTAGGATGATTTTTACACCTACTTGATGGAAGATTATCCTTCAACAAGCAATGCTACATGTTCAAGTTTCATTAACATGTTATTGAAGGATTTGAATGACCTTTTGATTCAACATGGAAAATCAATCACAGGTTATGATTTGCCAATAATAATAATGGAGAATACTCAAAGTTCTTTCATGCTAAGGGTTATACAAGAGGAGTTATCCATCCAAGTAGATAATGAAGATGTGAAATCTATGCAGAAGTTAAATAATGATCAATTAGTTGCATCCAATACCATTATGGATGTTCTCAACAATAAACAAAGTGAAGTTTTTTTTTTGTGGATGGACCAAGAGGAACAGGTAAAACATTCATTTATCGCACTTTAATTGCAAAGCAAGGGTCAAATTATTTTAGCAACTGCCTCATCTGGTATAATTGCAACACTTTTACTTAATGGTCAAACTGCATATTCTTGATTTAAGATACTAATCAATGTAGAGGTAGATTCATTTTGCTTAATAAGTAAACAGTCTAATCTTGCAAAACTAATTAGAGAACAATAACAATCATTTGGGAT